TCTCCCTCAGCCCCCCACCCATGCATGACTCTGGCTTCTGCTGTGAGCAGCCAGGATTCCTCCTGTGCCCATAAAGGGGGCTGGGTGGTTTAAAGAGCCCAGTGTGACTTCATTTAGGCCTCAAGTCCCCCAGGTCCCACCCAGCTTCCTCCTCCCAGGTCACTCAGGGGCAGGGCATTAATGGGTAGACCCTGGGGGAATCCACAGCCGCCCATCAGATGGGAGCCTGCCATATCTCAGTGGCGTCAGTGTGACCTGGGCCAGATCACCTGTCCTGGCTCTGCCCAGGAAGTCCTTCACCTCTGGGCATGGGGAGCTGTCTGAGCCTCCCTGTGGCTCTGGGCTGGGAAAAGCCTCTGCCTCTGGCCAGTCTGCAGGGAACAGAGGTCGTTATCCATTCTGCTTCTCACAAATTAAGATCCATCAGCATCACTTAGACCTGACTTGTGGGTGAGTCTCCCTTGGTCTAGATTCAACTTCCTGTCTTTTTCCTGTCCCACTTTGATTTTGGTTCCTCTGTCCTTTCCTGTGTTCTTTATTTTGGACAGAAGTGGCCGTGAGGCTTCTGGCTTTAAAGCCTGATTACAGTCTGGCATTGTCTGGGTGCCCCATGTGGGAGCACGTCTGGCCAGCCATGTCCTTTTTAGCTCATCTGTTGCCCCTTCTCTCAGACCTTTTCTCCTTCATTTCATTAATTTTCTTTTTTTGAGATGGAGTCTCACTCTGTAACCCATGCTGGAGTCCACCGGTGCACAAAAATTAGCTTGGCATGGTGGCAGGCACCTGTAATCCTCATGCCACTGCACTCCAGCCTGGGCAACAGAGTGAGACTTGGTCTCAAAAAACAAATTAGGCCTAATCTTTATTTACAGTTTACTCTTTAGCTTTCCAAAAAGCAGATTTTTTTTTTTTTTTTTGAATCAGAGTCTTGCACTGTTGCCTGGGGTTGGAGTGCAGTAGCACAGTCTCGGCTCACTGCAACCTCTGCCTCCTTGGTTCAAGTGATTCTCCTGCCTCAGCCTCCCAAGTAGTTTGGATTATAGGCACCCGCCACCACGCTGAGCTAATTTTTTTGTATTTTTAGTAGAGACAGATTTCACTATGTTGGTCAGCGTGGTCTCAAACTCCTGATCTCATGATCTGCCTGACTCAGACTCCTAAAGTGCTGGGATTACAGGTGTGAGCCACCTTGCCTAGGCCATCAAAGCAGTTAACTAGCATTTAGAGAGTAGATGGCCAGGTGTGGCTCAGGCCTGTAATCCCATCATCCGTTTGGGAGGCCAAGGTGGGAGATCACTCTAGGCCAAGAGTTTGAGACCAGACTGGCTAACATAGTGAGACCTCCATCTCTATGGGGGAAAAATAGTCAAGTGTGGTGGTGCAAATCTGTAGTCCTAGTTACTTGAGAGGCTGCAGCAGAACTGCTTGAGCCCAAGAGACTGAGGCTGCAGTGACCTATGATCATGCCACTGAACTCCAACCTGGATGACAGAGCAAGACCCTGACTCAAAAATAAATAATATCAAATAGACGGTAGAATCTTATGAACTTTTCACCCTTTCCACAGGTCTATAGGTGCCTGCAAGAAATAGTGAATGTTACAGGTAGACATTTTTCATTGCGATATAACTGGGATACCATTTATAATCATGTTACTGTGCAGACATAGAATGAAAAGCAAGTTGGCTAGGGATATAGCAAAAATTCAGGCATCATGTAGATGGCTGAATTTGAAGGACTTTTTCTGTTCTTTTTATTTATTTATTTATTTATTTATTTGAGATGCAGTCTTTCTCTTTTGCCCAGACTGGAGCACAATCTTGGCTTACTGCCACCTCTGCCTCCCGGATTCAAGTGGTTTTCATGTTTCAGCCTCCTGAGTAGCTGGGATTATAGGTGCACATCACCATGTCCAACTAATTTCTGTATTTTTAGTAGAGACAGGGTTTCACCATGTTGGCAAGGCTGGTCTTGAATTCCTGACCTTAGGTAATCTGCCTGTCTCAGCCTCCCAAAGTGCTGGAATTGCAGGCATGAGCCACCGCGCCTGGCCAAAATATATTTATTGTATAAAAAAGAAAGTTTTCCTTGTGCCATGTTCTAGTCATATCTAAAAGATTCCTAAAATAAGCCTTGTTCTTTCTTCTTCTTTTTCTTCTGCTCTAGAGCAGTTAGAAAGAAAGACTCTTGTTCTTTTTTTTTTTTTTTTTTCCATTTGAAATGGAGCTCTGTACTGTTGCCCAGGCTGTAGGGCAGTGGCGTGATCTCGGCTCACTGCAATCTCCATCTCCTGGGTTCAAGCAATTGTCCTGCCTCAGCCTCCCTAGTAGCTGGGACTACAGGGGTGCACCACCTCACCCAGCTAACTTTTTTGTATTTTTAGTAGAGATGGAGTTTCACCATGTTGGCAAGAATAGTCTTGATCTCCTGACCTTGTGATCTGCCCATCTCAGCCTCCCAAAGTGATGTGATTATAGGCATGAGCCACTGTGCCTGGCCAAGAGCCTTGTTCTTAACCCAAAGAGGCCTCTTCAAAAATTTCTATATCAGTGAGACTAATTAAACTGGAAAAGATCATCAACTAAATGATAAAGCAAGGTAAAGCCTTTTGCTAATTATTTTTGAATAATTTATTCTTGGGCTCTCTATGACTTGTTGAGGAATTGCGAGATACTGGGAAGTCTCTAATTAGGTAGTTTTAGAATAAACAGAAGTATGAACATTCATATACATTAGATTTGAAGACAACTACTTTTAACAGCATCTTGGTGGGAGTTATTTATTATGTGTCTTACTTTGAACAGAGATCATGCACATTGATTAGCTCAATAGTGTTCTTGTCCTCGTATAGTGAAGGAAATGTATGCAAGGTAAGGATGAATGTGGTTGCAGGGAGATCCAGGCACAGGTATTTGGCTTCACTATTGGTTGCAATGTGAATTATGGACTGTGGGCAAATGAACTTACCACTTTGTGAATGGCCCTTAGAGAGGGAATCCTAAAAAGATCCCAGGACTTCCAGTAGTCACGTAGGAGATTGAGTCTCCAAGGGAATAGATTCCTAGAGAACACAGAGACACTTAGGTTAGCTAAAGAAGATGAAAAGGCCAGCACGGTGGCTCACACCTATAATCCCAGCACTTTTGAAGGCTGAGGTGGTGGATCACCTGAGGTCGGGAGTTCAAGAACAGTCTGACCAACATGGAGAAACCCCATCTCTACTAAAAATACAAAAAATTACCTGGGCGTTGTGGTGCATGCCTACGATCACTGTTACTCAAGAGGCTAAGGCAGGAGAATTGCTTGAACCTGGGAGGCAGAGGTTGTGGTGAGCCAAGATAGAGCCATTGCACTCCAGCCTAGGCAACAAGGGCAAAACTCCATCACAAAAAATTAAAAAAAAAAAAAAAGAAGATGAAAAAGGAGGGTGGGCAGAGTGCTTTATAGCTGTAATCTCAACATTTTGGGAGGCCAAGGCAGAAGGATCATTTGAGCCCAGGAGATTGAGGCTGGGCTGATGACATACTGAGACCCCCGTCTCTTCAAAAAATAAAAAAATAAAAAACCATGCGCCTGTGGTTTTGGCTACTCTGGAAGCTGAGGTGGGAGGAGGTGAGACTCACATAAGCCTGGGGAGGTGAGACTCTGTTGAAAAGAAAGAGGAGGAGGAGGAAGAGGAAGGAGGAGGAGGAAGAGAAGGAGAAGGAGGAGGAGGAGAAGGAGGAGGAGAAGGAGGAAGAGAAGAATAAGAAGGAGAAGGAGGAGGAGAAGAATAAGAAGGAGAAGGAGGAGAAGGGGGAGAAGGAAGAGGAGGAAGAAGAGGAGAAGGAGAAGGAGAAGAAGAAAAGGAGGAAGAGAAGAAGGAGGAGAAGAAGAGAAGGAGGAAGGAGGAGAAGGAGAAGGAGGAGGAGGTAAAGGAGGAGGAGGAAAAGGAGGAGGAGGGGAAGGAGGAGGGGGAGGAAGAGAAGAAGGAGGAGGAGGAGAAAGAGAAAAATGAGGAGGAGAAGGAGGAGGAGTAGAAAGAGAAGGAGGAGGAGGAGAGGAGGAGAAGAAGGAGGAGGAGGAGAAGCAAGAGGAGAAGGAGAAGAAAAGGAGGAGAAGAAGGAGGAGAAGAAGAGAAGGAGGAGGAGGAGAAGGAAATGGAGAAGGAGGAGAAGAAATAGAAGGAGGAGAAGAAGGAGAAGGAGTAGAAGAAGGAGAAGGAGGAGAAAAAGAAGAAAAAGGAGGAGGAGAAGAAGGAGGAGGAGGAGGTAAAGGAGGAGGAGGAAAAGGAGGAGTAGGAGAAGGAGGAGGGGGAGGAAGAGAAGAAGGAGGAGAAGAAGGAGGAGTAGAAAGAGAAGGAGAAGGAGGAGAAGAAGTAGATGGAGAAGAAGAAAGAAGCAGCAGCAGCAGAAACAGAAGAAGCAGAAGCAGAAACAAAAGATGAGGCAGCAGCAGCAGCAGAAGGAGGAGAATCACTTGAGCTGGGGAGGTGAGACTCTGTTGAAAAAGAGAAGGAGGAGGAGGAAGAGGAGTAAAAAGGATGAGGAGGAGAAAGAGGAGGAAGAAGTAGGAAAAGAAAAAGGAGGAAGAAGAAGGGGAAGAAGAAATAGAAGAAGAAAAAGGAGAAGAAATAGAAGAAGTGGTCTCTGAGTAGCCATGAGGAGTAGGAAGAAAACCCAACCTACCTCTCGCTGGGTCCATGGGGAAAACATTAAGGCAGAGAAGGTCTTCTGAGAGAGACTAGGTTTGGTGAGTAAGAGATTCAAAAAGCTAGAAGGAAAGGAGGATATTTAAGTTACTCTTACTTCATAATATATAACCACAAAACTTTAGGCGCCTAAAATAACAATATCTTGCTGGGCGTGGTGGCTCATGTCTGTAATCCCGGCACTTTGGGAGGCCGACATGGGCGGATCACCTGAGGTAGAGAGTTTGAGAGCAGTCTGACCAACATGGAGAAACCCATCTCTATTAAAAACACAAAATTTCTTGGGTGTGGGGAGTGGGCACTTTCTCACCTGGGGGAAGGTGTAGCTTGTAGAGCACCTTGAGCTTCTCTGTCAGGTCCCTGTGGTACATCCTGCCTGTGGAGAAGGCCAGGGAGGGGCTGGCAAGATGGCTGCAGAGCCCCTTGCAGGGGGTCTGAGTGGGACCCTCTTCAAAGCCTGTGCAGCCTGACTCCCTCCTGGAGAGGTCACGGGGCGAGTCCCAGGCCTCCTGTCTCCCTGGCACCCTGTTGGGAAGGCTCAGCCCTTCCCTGGGGCTGGCAGACCAGTTTCTAGCAGCCCCAGACTGCATGGGGTAGGGGGACAAGGCTCCTGCTGGACCCCAACTTAGCTTCCATGGGTAAACTGTTCTTCCTGCATCTAGGGCCAGGGGCTCAAGCTGCCCCAGCTTGATGCAGTAGGGACAGACCAGAGATGCTGGCATTTGGAAGCCTTCCTGGGAAAGGGTGAGGGAGGGTCAGGCCCCTGGTAGCCCCTGCAGGCACTCACTCATCCCCACCACAAACTCCTTGAAGTTCATCAGCGAGTCCTTGTTTTCTCCAGGAGCTGGCACATGTGCCCTGCCAGCACAGGCATGTGGGAGCCACAGGCCCAGGGTGTCAGCCTGGCAAAGAGTTCCTGGAACTGACTGGCATCAATCCCATACTGCTCCAGGAAGGGCAGGCTGGGATCCCGATGGCCAGCCACCTTGCGGCTGCACTCCCAGTACTGGCTAGTCAGGTGCTTGGCATGTGGGACATGGTGTGGTGAGATGGCCCAGCCACTAAGCCCGAGGATTGAGGGGACCTATAGGCTGGTGGTGCATCCACCCTCCCCCTCCGTCCAACCCTGCAGAGCCCTGAGGTGGTGAGCACTGGCCAGAAACTGCAGCACCTCCCAGAAACTCTCAGGGTATCTTCAGCCCCTCATAACAGATGGGGAGAGGGTCGGCTGAAAAATACAGCCCTCAGCAGCCTGCAGGGGGCAGAGCTGGTCTGTTGGCCCCAGAGAAGGGCTGAGCATTCCTGTCAGGGCTCCAGGGAAACAAGAGGCTTGAGACTTGCTCTTGCTCCTATGACCTCTCCAGGAGGCGAGCAGAGCTGGCTCAAGTGTTGTGACACGAGGATCAGAGCACAGCGGCCACCTTCAGCACTGAACCTGAGGCAGCTGGAAAGGTGGATGGGAACTGGCAACAAGAACAGAAAGGCGGTCATTTCAACCATCAAGGCTGGGTCTTTTGCTAAAAGCACAAGAAAAAATTCTCTTGCACTGGGATTCCTGAGAAGAGTGGTCCTGGAGCTGTGATGACAGTCCTGCCTTGGTGTAGAAAGAGCAGTGCAGAGGACATCAGAGGTGGGGGAGCCTGAGGGCACATTTGGGCACCTGGGTCCAGCCATGTCTAAAGCTGTGCATTGCTAGACTTTTCAGTTACAAGGGCAATGCATTCCCTCTTCTGTGTAAGATGACAAGTGGATTTTCTGCCATTTAAGAGGCCCTGCCTAAACTCCAAGAAGGATGTGATTGTACCACATGAGATTCAGGGTAACTGCATCTGAGGATGCACCTGGGGGATACACTTAAATCTATTTTCTGGAAGGGGTCCTGCCCTGGCTCTGGGCTGTCACCTTAAACACCATGTAAAGGTCCTCCAACTCTTCATTTGAGAAACTGATGTCCACAGTTATAGCTCAGACCTAGAAGGAAGGAGAAACAAGGTGTATGGCTGGATCGCAAGCTCCTGCCACAGAAGTACAGCACTCTGTGAGAGTATTCTCAGTGAATGAGAGCAAGGGTGTGAAGCCCCCTCTAAGTGGCCCAGCACTTGAGGGCGGACCCTTCAGGAGGGGGAGGCCACAGCCCATCCCTGGCCCCCCACCCACCATCAGCTCACACTCCCGGGCTCCTTCTCAGGATGGGCTTTGGGGAAACTTTCTCTCCTCAACGTGCAGTAGAGGTCGCAGGGTGAGAGATGCTCACTTAGCTCCTGTCATCTGGATTCCTGCAGAGACCCTGGTGCCAGCTCTGCGGAAAGAGCCTAGAACCTGCCAGCCAATGCTCCTTTGCTTTAATTGGCTGAAGCAGTGAGTCTCTGGTGCTGTGACCCAATGTCCTCACAGTGTCCTACAAGCCTGCAGGAAGGTTGGAAACATGAAAACAATGGAAGAAGTCCCTGCCTTTGGGGACAGAGACCATGAACTGGTCTTAGAGCACAGGGTGGCAGAGAGGGCCTGTCCCCTCCAGAGACATGGACAGAGCTTGTGGCAGAGACATGGTGTCTGGGGTGTGAGAAGGGTGGCGGGATGTTACCCGGGAGTGGGACAGGGAACACATGACATAGCCAAGCTGGGAAGGCTTGGCCCAGTGGGCATGTGGTCTTCAGAGTGGGAGATGTCTGAGAAACTTCTTGGTGACTTGCCCATCAGCAGAGAAAAGTAACTGGGACCTCTCCCCACCTTCTCATCTACACCTCTGTATCCCAGTCCCATGAATCCTACCAGGACGTACACACCAAGCAGTATAGGAGACTGGGTGTGGGGAGCCCTGCACCCACCCTGCTCTGTGAAAAGGGCACCACTGCCCCCAGGCCCAGCCCCCGTCCAGCCCCGCCGGCACCCATACCACACTCCTCTTGGCTGTGTCCTCCAAGGACTGGATCACTTTCAGCCTCTGTTTAAACCGCATCTGCTCAATGTCTTCAGCCCTCAGGCTGCTGAATTTCTACAGGCAGAGGTGACTTTGTGAGATGATGCCACCTGCCCATAGCCACCCAACCCACATACCAGATGGAGCTGCCCGGCCAAACTAGCCCCACTGACTGCTGACCTCGTAGGACACTTTCAGGAGCTCAAAGATGTCCACCTCTGCAGGGGGGTCATCTCCGCTGGTCAGCAAGGCATGGAGGTGTGGGATAGGAGGAGAGACACTCTGCTTATTGACCACATTATCCAGGTATCTGCAAAGGGCAGAGGACAACAGTCCAGACCACGCACAGGCAAAGGGAGCCTCGTTCCCACAGCTGAGTGATGCGGAGGGACCCAATCTTCACAACTCTCCTAACAAGGAGCATGCTGAGGACTGGGCACCCCCCAGGAGGGCAGAGGTGTGCCCCATCAGGGCCCCCAGCAAGTTGGAGCTCTACAGGGCAGTGCCCCCCACAAGGCCTGAGCATTAACCCTGAGGAGGCTGGGCTGTTTTCTGGGGTGGGGGGAGTGTCCCTTGAGCAGGAACCCTTTATAACTCCAGACCCTACCCTGATAGAAGGATGACAATCTTCCTCACTTTAGCAGGGCCCTGGGGATGTGGGATCTTCCCACCTTGGCCAAGAAGAATCAAAGGTTGAGTCACAGGAGAAGGTCTGGGGGAAGTGGGGTGGGAAAGCCTGCTGCAGCCCAGGGAAATCAGCTTCTCCAGGGACATAGTCCTGGGGATGGAGCCCTACCTGGGTCAGCTGACCTAGCCCCACCAGAGCTCATGGCCTCCCTGGCTCTCTGGGCTAAGCCTGACACTCAGGTGGGAGGAGGTAGCTGATTCCTCATGCCCATGACCTTGGTCCTACCCCCCGTCAGACCCCTACTCTGGAGGAGGCCCGATCCGCCTGTTGTAGGAAGGGGCAGGAAAACGAGCCACAGACTCCAGCTGCAGGCTGAGTGTCTTGACATCAGCGTGGGCCAAAAGCTACTATGGTCCACAGTAGGGAGGTGCCAACTCTGCTGGATCTACAGGGACCCAGGCATCACCTGGCCTGGACACAGGCAAGTGGCAGCATTTCCATTCTGTTCCTGGAGGGTGGGTGCATTCCAGACTAGGCAAATAAGATATGTAGGAGGGTGGGCTTCCGCAGAGCTCTGGGCCTGGCAGAGTGTAGCCAGGAGGTGCCGGGGCTTGAAGGCCAGGCTGGGGTCTCAGACAGTGCCTTTGTACACAGGACCCAGGGGAGGGGCAAGGCCAGGTTTCATAAGAGTCCTATGGGATGCAGGCAGGTGAAAGAGCTGAAAAAGGAACTCCAGGGAAAGGGCATGGTAGGCTTGGGCTGCACCACGGTAGGCCAGGGGCTGGATTCCAGACGGAATCTGCAAGGGATGGGATGTGGGGACTAAAGAGGGGGTGGAGGGGCTGGGATGATGCCAGGCCTTTGGCATGACTAGCTGGACATCACCAGCGGGCCCAGGGCAGGTCTACTCCCTCCAGGGCATGGGGGCTGCAATTGCAGCTCAGCTTGGAGAGGTATGATGGGGACCACCGGGTAGACATAGGAAAAGTCCAGCTATGCCACCAACTGGAATTGTGATCACTGGATCTGTGGTCACTGCTTCCTCTGGGAGCATCCCCATCCCCACATTTGAGCGGCGGCTATTCAGCCAGAACGCTCTGGCTACAGCACCTGCTTTATTCCTCCCAGCACCTATCACTGAGTGCTGCTTCATTTCCCATTAGAAAGGAGCTGGCTCCTGACCCCAGAGCACCTCTGGGTCCAGCTGTGGCCTAGCACTTGGTGGGCACAGTCACTGCATGCTGACTGGACAGTGCCCAGGGCTGGTGAGAGGGTCTGCTGTGAGCCCCCGGCAGGAGAAAAAGCCCAGCACATCACCTGCCCAGCACAGTCATGGCCTCGCCCTCATCGCTGCAGCCCAGCAGCTGCTCCATGTTGGCGTCCAGGACGGCCAAGGCCACCTGCAGTATCACCTTGATGCCCTCATAGAAGAAACAGTCGACAATAACCACAGCACTCTCGAAGGGCATGACACTGAGGAAGAGGGTCAGGAACCAGGACAGCGAGATGCTGGAGATCACCCCCAGGTCCTGCATCTTCTCTGAGAGCTGTGGCAGGAAGTCTCTTGTGAGCTCTTCGAAGATGCCTTGGTCCACCAGGGCTCCTGTGGGCAGGATGAGCAAGGTTGAAGGTGAGCCCACCCCATGGCCTGGGCGGGCCATGGCCTGAAGCCCACCAGCCCTGGCCACTCCAGCCCTGCCAGCTCTTCAGTGAGGGCTGAAGGGAACTTGGAGTGCCGGGAGAAAACAAGGATGAAAAAACCCTTTAAGTCTTCTCTCTACAGTTCCCAAACCACTGGGTGAAATAACTGTTTCTTCCACTACACTTGAAATTTATTTTGGGGAAATACTAATTTCTCCCTAAGGCATGAGAGGTAAACTGGCTGTGTGTCCAATTCTGATGACTGTGAACAGATGCAACTCTGAAGGACCCCAAGAGTGGTAACTCCAAACACCAGACGGCAGGGGAAGGACAGGATAACACACTTGAATATGAACTTGATTAAATACTCTTACAAGTCCATTTCCATTTAATAACAGATTTTACTGGATGTGAGTTCAATAAAGTTGAGCATCAGGTTACATGGGGGATATATATTCTTTAGTTTTGATGTTTGAAATTTTCTATAATCAAAAACTTGACAAAGTTAGATACATGGGAATTTGGGCTCTGAGGGGACTTTTACAAACCACTGAATATGTAATACTATCCTCTAACTCCTACGGAACCCATGTGAAGCCTGGATCTTGGCCTGGGAAGGGCTGCCACCCTCATGGAACCACCAGGCACCTGAAGACTCAGGCAAGGCAGCACCCGGGACACTCACCCACCACCCTGGTGTTGTAGTAGTCGGGCAGCATGCGCTCGCACAGGGCCACCAGGAGCCAGAAGGCCTCCTCCTCACTGCCATAGAGCAAGAGCACTGAGGTCACGATGTTCATTGCCTGCCGGGCACAGAGACAGCTGGTGAAGGCTTGCACTACTGGCCAGCAAATAAAACTGTCTCTCCCCACCCTTCCCAGCTACCCCCTCCCTGCAAGGGCCCACATGATCACTTCTTTTTGTTGTTGTTGCTATTTATTTATTTTTGATACGAAGTTTCGCTCTTGTCACTGGGGCTGAAGTGCAGTGGCATTATCTTGGCTCACTGCAACCTCCACCTCCCAGGTTGAAGTGGTTCTCGTGCCTCAGCCTCCTGAATAGCTGGGATTACAGGTGCCTGCCACCACACCTGGCTAATTTTTTGTATTTTTAGTCGAGATGGGGTTTTGCCATGTTGGCCAGGCTGGTCTCAAACTCCTGACCTCAGGTGATCCACCAGCCTTGGCCTCCCAAAGTGCTGGGATTACAGCCATTGTTATTTTTATTTTTCAGGTTCTCATGGTGAAGATTAATGGCCTCCTACAAGTAAGTCTGCCTCCCCAGGAGGGTTAGGCATCCGGTAATGAGAAACTGCCTCTGCCCAATTCCAGGAAATTCAAAAGGCAATCTGTAGGAAATGGATTTAACAGAGTCAACCAGCTCCTTCAAACTGGGTCAGAAGGTACTGGGAAACCAGAAAAGGTGGACATGAACACATCACACTTTTGTGGAGCAGTGTCTAGTGTTGGAGGTGGGACGCATGACCAAGTTGATGTGGAGGGGAGCCACATGGCCACAACCCCACACCAAGGCCACTCACTCAGCACAGCACTAGGACCACACACAGCCCTAGCTGCTAAAAAGACCTTTAAGGCAAACAGAAAGCCATCTGACTTGGCCAGAAGAATGCCTAGATTTAAAATCAAAAGCTGCCAGGAATGCTAACCTAAAGCATAATTAGATACCTTCATGCCCATCACTATAACAGCAACAATAACAGAATATACCAAGTGTTGATGAGATGCAGAGAAATCGAAACCCTTGTGAATTGCTGGTGGGAATATAAAATGGTGCAGCTGCTGGTGAAGGAGTATGGAATTCCTAAAAAAATTAAAAATAGGCCACGGCACAGTAGCTCACACCTTGTAATCCCAGCACTTTAGGAGGCTGAGGAGGGCAGATCACTTGAGTTCAGGAGTTCAAGGCCAGCCTGGGCCCCACAGTGAGACCCTGCCTCTACAAAAAATACAAAAAGTAGCTAGGTGTGGTGCTGTGCACCTGTAGTCCAAGCAACTCAGGAGGCTGAGGTGGAAGAATCGGTTGAACTCAGTAGGTGGAGGTTGCAGTGAGCTAGGATGATGCCACTGAGCTCCAGTGTGGGCAACAGAAGGAGATCCTGTTTCAAAAA